TATATATATATGTTTTGAAGTTCAATATAGTATCTGATTTGCATATTTTACTTCCTAACTTGACTAAAATAATAGTCTTGCCTGCCACGTCTTTATTATTTACTTGAATATCAACAAATGTCAGGGCACTCGTTCCTTAAATTGGTCCAAATTAATTAATTTAATTTTTTATGGCATAGTCTGCTTGATCTGTAAAATCTCGTTTTGGCTAATGTGCCTTCTCCAGGGAGTCAAAACCTTGATCAGGTTTGTTTTTGAATTTACTATCATCCTTTACATTGGTTTTTTTGTTCCTACTTTTAAGTCGGTGATGCTACATATCACTGGTCAAAATTCTCACTGGGGCCCATTCCTACCTCCCCGTAGCAATGCAAACAGGAAGTGCAGAGAAATGCACTGGAGTGAGGGTATATATTGGGAATTCCAGCCCTCTAACTTTGTTGTCCTGTCCTGCTGCATTCTTGTGCATTTGTATGCCCTAGTTGGAAGGCTTGGGTGGTTTTATGAAGGTGTCTGTTATCATCGTTTCCATTCCCGTCCACGGTTAAAAAAAATCCCATCATGGCGTAAGACGGCCAAGCTCACCGAGTGGCAACAATGCTGTAAAGAACAAGGCAGTCTTACATGGTAATGAGGTTTTATTTCAGGGCTGTGGCTGCATTTGTGTAGAATAGTGGGGCTGTTCAGTGTTGTTGTGAGACAAAAGATGTCTGCTTGAACTGGGGGCTGTTTCTCCCAGGCTGTGGAAGAAGTCTTGTGACTCTAGCGTCAGCTCTGCATCTGTTTGCAGCTGATCATCTGAGCTGCATGAACTCAGTGAATGTCCCTCAGCAATCTTTTTACAGTCTGCATTGATGCAGCTGTAATAACAACAATATAGCAGTGAAAGTTTAAGTTTGACTTAGAAGTTTTTGCATGCATTTAGTAATCTTTAGTATTAATTTTTCAATGTGTGAATTTTCTTGTAATTCTAGAAACTAAGAAAAAACACATTTTACCTTTTTGTCTGTAGACATGAAAACATTTTTGCTATGTAGTTGTTTTTGAGATAAAGTTTAATAACCTTTTTATAGTGTGTTTTGTGCACCTCAAATTTTTTTCACATTGCAAAAGCAGCAGACAAAATATCATATTTTATTGTCTGCATCGTTTTGAAAAAAATTATTAATCCTGTTATTTTTTATAGCCACTATTTAAAAAAAGTCAAAAATTGAAATTTAAACTGCTTTAAAAGAGTGACAATTGAAAGTTGTTAAATTAGCCAATCAGAGTGCATGCGCTTGGCCTCCTGTGTTGATCTTTTTTGCAACAAAGATGAAGCCTCTGACTGAAAAACTGTTTGATCAGTCGGTTTTGTAGAGGGATTTGTTTTGGTTTTGATTGTGATAAGCACTTAATGCCCAAGATATGTTTTCAACGAGCTAAGATTATTTTAGTCGAGGGTTTGTTGTATTTTGACTTTGACTTGTACATAATTTTACCGTTTGCTCAATCATGCAACCTTTTATGATATGAATTCTGTAATATCGGCCAGTGAGTGTTCCCCATGTTCTTGTTAGTGTGTGTAATATTTACTCCTATAATGCACAGACTATGTATGGATTATATTTGATTTTATTTAAAAGTGGGCAGCAAAGAAGCCTAGCTTTAGAAGGAGGGGAACTACAGTGATGCTTTTTTTGGAAGATGTATTGTTTGAGGAGCTTCACCATCATTCACTTTTGTACAATTCGCTATTTGGGACACCAAGAAAATCTAAAAATGTGTCAAATTCCCATCCTCAACTTCTTTTAACTGAAGTTGACAAACAAGCTTTTCACCACTTGTCAGACAGGAGTGTGAAACTACTGATTAGTCCAATGCTAAGACAAATTAAGGCTAAGGTAAACTATGCAGATTGTTTGTTGACGGCGGGGTCGCTCCTTTACCCAAATTGCAGTTCTGGACCTGCTCAATAATCTCAAACAGCAGCTTAGAAGAAACAAAAACAAGAAGTGCATGTAATCATATTAACTAAAGACTGTTTAAATAAAATACTATTTTGTAGAACAATTTTTATCTTGATCTAAACACAGAATTTGACATTGCTGCCATTAATAATAATAATAATAATAATAATAATAAAAGAAACTAACAAAAAAAATCACTTTCCACCACACTTCTTTAAACAATATTCATCATCTTGCTGCAAGCATTAGGGGCCAAATTACAAACAATAAGTAGAATCTGCTCTGTCTCATCTCATAAAAACCTCAGTGTTGAATTTCCAGTTCAGTCTGTTGTTCAGATATCTGTAGTTTTTCACTTTCTTCTGTCTGGTTAAAATTGTATTCAACTTATTCCTTCTCAAATTCACAATCATGCCTTTTGTCTCGTCTTTAAGATGAGGTGATTGTTCCCACACAAATGCATAAAACTGTAAAACTGCCACCAGTTCTCTGTACTCAGCCTCCACCACTGACACACCCCACAGCTGTAGTCATCGGAGTATTTCTGAACATGACACATGTCTGAGTTGTACTGGAAGTCTGGGATGTAATGTAAAAGAAAAATGATCATAGTTTAGTTCTTTATGATGGCGGACACCGCTGGTATTGTTGCACAGGGTTTATTGAATTTTACTGTTAATCGTTTGTATGAAATCACGAGATTTAATTTAGTCTTTGTATTGCTTTGCTTTTATTTAGGTACTTTTTAAATCTATGAGTCATTCTTTCTTCTTACATCTGTCTGTTGTTTTATGCCAAAAAAAAGGTGTCAGAGATGAAGACATCGAGACGTTTTTCGCACTGGTTTCATTATTACAGCTGCTATTACTATGGGAACAAGGGATCTATGCTAGATGGCAAAATGATTTTAGCTGGCTGTTCTTTTATTTTGTCTGAGGTAAATTTACTCCCAAACATCCAGGATCTAAGTTTGTTTCTGTTTGTATTTACAGTCCTGAACACACATGAAAGCACTGTCCTGCAGATGAGCCGTCACTGGGGGCTTTCCCGTCGCTGTCGCAGACCCAGATAGTTTCTGGCGACAGCGGCATTGCCCCCAACATCGCATTATGCCCAACAGCAGTCGGGCGGGGAACCTGAAGGACCCCGAAATTGCAGACCTCTTCTTCAAGGAGGATCCGGAGAAGCTCTTTTCAGATCTGCGTGAAATTGGACATGGCAGCTTTGGTGCTGTTTACTTTGTGAGTATTCCTTTAGAAAAGTGAAAGGTCCAAACCTTAAATGTTTTCCTAGTTTGATCTCAGAACTACTTTTGAGGTAATTTCAGAGAAATCCAACATCCTGGTTTACTGGGTAAATAATAATGCATCAATAATAATAATAATCTAATAATTATCAATAATAATAATAATAATTCTTCAATAAACTAAATATGTTGGAACAGTTTGAACGGCAGGAAACTGTCAGAATTGCTTTCTATATTGTTGCTCTTTATTTCCAAGAAGTTTTAATTGAAGAGGTTTTCATAAGTCCTGTTTTTCAGTATAAACAATATAGTTTAGGTAATGACTTTGGTCATTTTTAGATCTGTTAATTTACTACCACAGATGTTTAGCTGTATGGTTGATAATCACAGTTATGTAATGCTCTTGTCTTTCAGGCACAAGATGTGCGGACGAATGATGTGGTGGCCATCAAAAAGATGTCTTACAGTGGGAAACAGTCCACTGAGGTTTGGTAGCTTTTACTAACATCTGTCTTATTATGTCACAACACTGCAATATTAAGTTCCAGAATATTGGAACAACTGTGCATGTGTAAAAAGGAGCAAAGTTAAGCTTCTCATTGCTAAAACAGGACATAAGCTAAACCAGAAGACTTTTTCTTTCCCTCAAAACAGAATTGATTTCTCTCATTTCTTTAAGTATTTGGATGTTTTACAAATCATACAATGTGTTCTAAAAATGTGATGAATTTAACTGATCAGAAATCCTAAACTGTTTTTACAGAAATGGCAAGACATAATAAAGGAGGTGAAATTCCTGCAGAGAATACAACACCCAAACAGCATAGAGTACAAAGGATGTTACCTGAGAGAGCATACTGCTTGGGTAAGATTTTATATTGAAGAGTTAATAATACCATTAATGTATGATTAAAATGTAAAAATCATTGATGGAAAAATACCAGTTCTCATAAAACGTGTTTTCCTACAGCTGGTGATGGAATATTGTCTAGGATCAGCTTCAGATTTGTTAGAAGGTAGGTTTAAAATCTTAGTAGTTGATCAGTTCATGTGGCTGCAGTAACTAAAGCTGACATGTAAATTCAGTTTGTCACCATTTGTTGTACTTTACGTCACTGCTGATGCATACCTTCCAGTTCACAAAAAACCTCTGCAAGAAGTTGAAATAGCGGCGATTACCCATGGTGCTCTTGAGGGTTTGACCTATCTTCATTCCCACAACATGATTCATCGGTGAGTGAGTTTTGAAACATGCCTAGACATTATGCCCTCAGGCATTCTGCTTTCTTTTGTTAAACAAAACAAGACAAAGAAGTAAACCACAAACAACCCACAAGAAAATAAATAACTAAAGCACATGAAATAGTTTAACTTACTCAGATGTCAGTAAATACAACAGTCATCCATTTTGGATTAGAAATTCTTAAGCATAAATAAACTAGATAACGAACTTCATCTGCAGTATCTATGATCAAAGTGTAGTCTAGAATCTCCCCTTTACAAGGAGGGAGGGTATTTCATTGCTGTTCAACTGACGGGCAAAAAATTCCTGGAAGAACCATTTAGAAAAGTCTGAAATGACAAATATTTCCATCAGATGTAATTTTATTTTATAGATGATTTATTACAACCTGCCAATGAGTTAATTTAAAATTAAACTAATCAAATTGCTGTTTAAATAACATTTAAATAGCAATATTAGTTGGCAGATGTCTATCCCATGACCTGTGGCCTTCTGAGCAATCTAAATGAATAGCCCTGAGGTAGATGAAAATAATAATTTGTACATAGGAATGGAGGCAGATCAAAGACAAAGGAAAATAAATACAATTTAAGACAGGGAAGCTTACCAGGTCTGTTTTCCTGAAGTTGGAAGAAATTAAGTTGTTTAACATGATAAAAAAAAAACAGATTCTCTTATTGTTCTGAATCTTTTAAGATTATTTAAGCATATGTTTAACTTCTTTGAGTTTTACATGACTGAGAACAGCCTTTACCTTTAAAGTGGAGAGGTAGGTGAAAAAGGCTTCCAGTTTCACAAAATCTGTTGCAACTAAAAAAGTGAAAACAATAACATCTCTTAGTTTTGGAAAGATGTGAGGTTGATGTTGGTATCCTGAATATTGCAACAAATGGATCTAAGTCAATCTGAACTCTACGAGCTGCTGAGAGTGTACTTAAAACATCTCTCCAGAAGTCAAAGACAAATGTTTCCAAAACACAGACACAATTTGCTGGAAATCAGGAATTCTGTTTTCTGAGTAGAACTTGATAATTTATCTCTGTGTTTGACAGTGACATCAAAGCAGGAAACGTCTTACTGACGGAATCGGGTCAGGTGAAACTTGCAGACTTTGGTTCTGCTTCCATAGCTTGTCCTGCAAATTCCTTCGTTGGGACCCCATATTGGTACGCTACAAAGCTTCTGTATTAAGTGTATTAAGTCAATGTGTTTTTCATAGGTATATTTTTGACATAATTGTGTTCTGCTGCATATGTTTGCTTGCTTAGGATGGCCCCAGAAGTAATTTTAGCTATGGATGAGGGTCAGTATGATGGGAAAGTGGACATCTGGTCTTTGGGAATAACCTGCATCGAATTAGGTATGTTTCAACATTTCTGATTTGGTTTGCTTCTAACAATAGAAGAATTGTTTTAATTTTTTTTTATTTTTTGTTTGTTTGTTTTTTATAAATGTATTGTCTATGTTGTCTTTTTTTATAATTCATAGTCTTTAAACAGACAGATTTTTTTCACCCTTTTCCCTGTGCTAGTTCCTCCTATCACATGTAATAAATGAAAACCTGTGTGCTTTGGTTCAAACTACATTGTGGTACAGCTGAACACAGAAGGACCAAGAAAACACGATCAAATTTGCTGCAAAACCATTATTTCTTTATTTTGTTAAGTTCAATTGCTTTTTTCTTTACTTATTTTTTAGTAAAAAGTAAAATTTATTTCTGAAATGGTTTCTTTCATAGCTGAGAGGAAGCCTCCACTTTTCAACATGAATGCAATGAGTGCCTTATACCACATAGCACAGAATGAGAGCCCAACACTGCAGTCTAGTGAATGGTGAGTATCGTAAATGCGTACATTTAGCATGCTAGTTATTTATCAGTTACGTTCTAAACCTTGTTCCCTTTTTTACGCTTGGCTATAGGACGGAATATTTCCGAAACTTTGTAGAGTCTTGCCTTCAGAAACTTCCTCAGGATAGGCCAAACTCTGAGGAGCTCCTACGGGTAGGAATCATCTTGCCTTGGGTTTTTTTTTTCCATTCAAGTAGTGAATTGAATACTAAAGGACTTTTCTGTGTTTGTTTTCCAGCATGCATTTATTCAGCGTAAACGACCAGAATCGGTTCTAATAGACCTGATTAATCGGACCAAGGATGCTGTGAGGGAGCTAGATAATCTGCAGTATCGTAAAATGAAGAAGATCTTGTTTCAGGAAGCCCACAATGGCCCCACAACTGAGGCGCAAGACGATGATGAGGTTTGTCTTTTGACTGTTTCAACTGCTTGTAGCTTACATCTGTGTGGATATATATATAATGATTGTTGTTGTAACCTTGTCTCTGCTTGCTGTGTGTCATTTGTAGGAGCCAGAACACAATGTGAGTAAGACGGGCACAGTGAACAGCGTGGGAAGTAACCAGTCGATTCCGAGCATGTCGATCAGTGCCAGTTCTCAGAGCAGCTCCGTCAACAGTCTAACTGATGTCGGAGACGACAAGAGTGAGGTAGACATGGAGGGAGACCACACGGTGATGTCCAACAGCTCTGTCATACATCTCAAACCTGTAAGATATCAAAGCTTAAACCAAACCTAGAAGCATTGTTTTATATTTATCACATGTCACTGTTTGTAATTAGGAGTACCACACTTTAGATTGTATCTTATGTTGTTCTGAATGTGACGCACTGGGCTTCTTATTATATTTAGGAACAACAGACAAGTAACGAGGAGTCAGAGCCGCCTCAGAACCGAGCAACATCAGAACCACAACCTACACCTGTACAAACTCAGAGGCCAAAACGAAACCGTGAACACTTTGCTACTATACGCACAGCTTCAGTGGTAAAAAACACATTTATTCTTTTTTTGTTCATAAAACAAACAACAAAAAAAACATTGCTCCTTTTATTTACAGGACATGTTCCTTTTTGTTGGAGAGGACAAACTACCTATTGTCCCACTTCATGGTCTGTGAATATGAAAAATTAATATTGTCCTTCCTTTGTCAGCTCACTCGCCAAATTAAGGAGCATGAGCAGAATTCTGAGTTAAGAGAGCAAATATTGGGCTACAAGCGTATGAGGCGGCAGCATCAGAAGCAGCTGCTGGCTCTGGAAAACAAACTGAAGGCTGAAAAGGATGAGCACAGGCTCCGACTGGACAAAGAGCTGGAGAACCAGAGGAATAGCTTTTCTCAAGAGATGGAGAAGCTCATTAAGAAACACCAGGCTTCCCTGGAGAAAGATGTAAGTTGTCAACTCATACGTGTGTTCACTTAAAGCTGTATTTCTAATTCTGGATCTTCCTCAAGGTACTAAAAACCACTGGAAAAAAATGATAGCAACAAACCTGTTAGTTTGGATAAATACTTGCACCATTTTGTCACTCTGTCTCAGTAGCTTGTAAAAATGTTTTCAATCCCATTAGACATTTTTAGAAACCAGAGACCTATGTTCCTGTGAGTGTTGATTATTCATCTTAAATGAGAATGCTTTGAGTTTTTTACATGCCTTGAATAGTCTTCTTGTCTACTGGACAAGAATATTTGAGACAAAATGAATATACGTCTATTTTTAGCTCAAACTGTGAACATAATACTTTTAACTTGATTATGAAAAGGATGTCTGTAGAGATCTGTTTTTGTTCATTTATTTAGTATTGATCAATGTGACGTTTATCAGGCAAAAACCTACAGCAATGATGAAAAGAAGTTCCAACAGCACATCCAGGGTCAGATGAAGAAAGAGCTCAACAGTTTCCTAGAGTCCCAGAAACGTGAATATAAACGCCGCAAGGAGCAACTGAAAGAGGTAAGCTCCTTCACGTTTTTTGTTTTCCCGGCTTCTCTTTCTTTTTACTTGCTGCTAGCAAATATACAACGATCAGAACAAGAACTTCAATTCTGCTTAATGACCCAAAGTCATTCTCCTCTTTAGGAACTGAATGAAAACCAGTCAACCCCCAAGAAAGAAAAGCAAGAGTGGTTGTCCAAACAAAAAGAGAACTTCCAACACTTTCAAGCAGAGGAGGAGGCCAACTTGCAGCGCAAACAACGGCAGTACCTGGAGATAGAATGCCGCAGGTTCAAACGGAGGCTCATGAATACCCGTCACACTACTGAACAGGACCTGGTGCGAGAGGTGAGGACTTCTGAGATTTAATGTCATGAAATTTATCTAATTTCTAACCAAGCAAAATGTGGTACTCACTGTAACTATCTTCATGTGTTTCTTCGAAGGAGTTAAACAAGCGTCAGACCCAGAAGGACTTGGAACATGCCATGCTTCTCCGGCACCACGAGTCTATGCAAGAGCTGGAGCGTCGCCATCTCAGCACCATCCAAAAGACAAGAACTGAGCTGATCCGTCTGCAACACCAGACAGAGCTGACCAACCAGCAAGAGTACAACAAGAGGAGGGAGCGGGAACTCAGACGCAAACATGTCATGGAGGTTCGTCAGCAACCCAAGAGCCTCAAGGTTAGTTTAATATTGGATTGTTATAAAAGTCCTTACTTTTCTTAACAATTCATTTCTGCATTTGTTCCTAATGTGATCACTTTCCTCTGTTGTGCAGTCCAAAGAGCTACAGATCAAGAAGCAGTTCCAAGACACGTGTAAGATCCAGACCAGACAGTATAAAGCACTGAGAAACCATCTGCTGGAGACCTCACCAAAGTCTGAGCACAAAGCCATCCTTAAACAGCTGAAGCAGGAGCAGCACCGCAAGCTGGCCATTTTGGCAGAGCAATATGAACACTCCATCAATGAAATGCTTTCCAGTCAGGCGGTGAGTCTATTAATGTGCAAAACGGTTAAGAAGCATGAGTGTGTCACCTCTGTAGAAGTTTTCTAAATTAGTTCTGCTTGTGTAATTAATTAATTAATTAATTGATTTATTTATTTATTTATTTATTTATTTATTGTTGTTTGTGTTTAGCTTCGCCTGGACGAAACTCAGGAAACTCAGTGCCAAGCCTTAAGAATACAGCTACAGCAGGAGCTGGAGCTTCTCAATGCCTATCAGAGCAAGATCAAAATGCAGACAGAAGCTCAACATGAACGAGAGAAGGAGGACCTGGAACAAAGGATGTTGCTCCGACGAGGACTACTGGAACAAAAGGTTCTGTTCTATATATGCTCATGTGATGTTTAGATGGCACACGTTTACTGGACCTCACTGATATCTGTTAGTGATGCATCAGGTTTAGAAATAAGTTTTATTTTATTAAACATTTTGATTAACAGAAAAAAAGTCTTATTTGGTTTGTATTCAAATGTCCTCATAACTTACAGAATGTAACCATCTTATTTGATCACAGACTGATATTAAATAAACACAGGAGAGAGTTTTAGATATTTAGAAAACAATAAAATAAATCTTGTACTTTGCAACGTAAGCTTGTAGTAATCAATTAGTCATTTATAAACATTGTTTTTGTCCTACTCTTCTCTTTAGATTGAGGCTGAGTTACAATCTTTACAAAAAGAACGTCAAGAGCGAATCCGAAGCCTTCTTGAACGCCAAGCACGTGAAGTTGAGGCTTTTGACTCCGAAAGCCTGCGCCTGGGCTTCAGCAACATCGGGCTCTCAAACATCTCCTCCGAGGGTCTCAACAACAGCTTTCCCGGGGCTCCAGGAGGTTATAGTCAGCAACTGCACTCATCTGTGAGCGCCCAGGGGCCACGCTGGACCGGCCGTGGTTCGAGTTTAGGGCCAAGTCACCGAGGCAGTCAGCACTACCATCACTCCAGTCTAGGAGGAACACCAATGCAAGGGAACTGGGGGCAAGGCATCCACGGAGGAGGGGGCCCACCTCCATGGAGCCGTCACTCTTCTGGATCCCTTGTTTCTCACAGCAGTGGCAGTATACAGAACAGCCCTCAAGTGATGGGTAGGACACCCACAGGAGGGCACGGTGAGCAGGGTATGAGCAGGAGTACCAGTGTCACCTCTCAGATATCTAACGGGTCACACCTCTCCTACACATAGACACCCCCCATACACACCTCCCTCACGGCCCTGGAGTCACTTTGAGTAAAAAATAACAGCAGGACAGAGTATTGGCTTACCCCTGGTGCTCTGTCGCTGTGACACTACCCTTGTACAGATGTGTGATGAAATAAATGTTGCTCAGGTCAAAAGGGCTGGGAATGGCACAGCCCGTCCTCCCAGCAGTTTATTGGCACACACAGATTCTTAGACGTATGTTACAAACGCAGTTGGAGTATTAGCATCTCTTTTTACAGTTCTCTTTCACAGAGACATTTTTTTATCATTCATTTGTTATATTCACAGCCATTGCTTTCATTTTGCACATAAAACACTGTTAGAAAGCTTTTGACAGCGTAACATTTGTCTTTAGAAATGTAGTATGAAACAATCAAACAGGTTTTGCTTCAGGATTTTGTTTTACTCTTCCCATTCATATATAGTAATGCACTGGCCAATTCTGTGGTACGGTGGGAACACTAATTCAGAACTAACTGAGCTAACGGATGCCTTGCTGTCTACCAGCCTGCTGTAATGGTCATTGATGGTCATTGTGATAAATTAGAGGCTTTTGTTTATCCACATGTTAACCAAAATGGGATTTCATGAATGCAAATCCAGGCAAATTTATCTTAACTCTTTCAGACATATGCTTCTACTAATACTGTGCCTTTTTAAGGGTTTGATAACAAATTTTATAGTTTATTATTTTGAATTTCATCCTTGGTTTTCGATCAGTGATAGGTTTTTAGTTCAGGGTTATTTTCACACCTAGAGTTTTAATTCCAGACTTCCAAGATTTCTTTTGAGGAATTCTATATCCTTGAAATGTACAGTGGAGGTGGTCTAATAAAAGTTGACAAATTAAGTTGTGCACATCACTGACTGCATTTTTATGTCTCAGTGGCACTCTAGGGGAATCTTTAAAACTTCTGCAGAGAATGTCAGTGTACACATTCATGAGCAATTGTGGGAAAATTGGAAACGCCATGGCCTTAAATCACAATCCCAGTGCTCATCTGTTTATGTTTATTAGTGCCTTTTTTTTTTTTACAACTGCTGCCTTTTTTCAAAGCACTTTATACAGCCTAATGCTTGTAAAAGTAATATTTGCCTTTTCCCCCTTTCTCTCTCTTTTTTACATTTTGTTGCAAAGCTCCTGGTGGATGAATGTTTCATCGGTACGTGTGTAGAAAAGTCAAACTTAACTGTGCTGTGACTTTTTTAAAGGGGCAAATACCCAAGTAGACACAAAAGCCTTGTGTATGTTGGCATTTGTTATGTATGCAGAGACCCCACCCCCCTTTTTTTTGACAACTTTTACTTTTTTGTGTTTTTTTTTTTTTTTTGTCTCAGAGACTAGCTGTTGTTGGGTTTTGCCTGATTGTGTGTTTAAGCTGAGCTCTGATTGAACTGAGTGTTTGAGGATGCTACAATGTCCGTGTTTATGCTCCAGTTTCTATAAAACAAACTGAACAAAGCTAACTGAGGAGTCCTTTATATTCAGACAGGTAGTTGTCTTGACCATGACAGCAGGCGTTGCGCTACTGAACTAAAACACTGCTTAAAAAAACGTCATGGCCCGAATTAAGTACCACAAAAAGTCAACGGTGCCAAGTTCAAAATGTTGCCTAATCTCATTAGAACCAAAACAAATCTTAGAATCAAATGCAACGTTTTAAATTACGAGTGTAGCTAAAACTCTAAATATATAAAATTGATTATACACACATTTTGTTAGGAAAATAACACAATGCTAAATAAATGTGGCGAAAGCAGCTTTTTTTAAATCCTTTTCAGTTGTTAGTTAAAATATTCACGAACAAGCATGTTGCCTTTGAAGCTGTTTTACAGACGAGGTTTCTCAAAAGTTTTAAAGGCCTTCAGAGATGATACAAAGGTATTTGCTCCCTTGCGTCACAAACTTGTGGATAATGTTCATCGTTTTATGTTTAATTAAAGAACAAGTTCAACTAAACTTACTTTTTTTTAAAAGATTACTTCTAAAACTGACTTTGTTCACCTGTCATTCTCTAAACTACTACTTTTTTAAGGGGTGAGTTGTGTACGCACAGTTTATTGGACAATATTTCAAGTTTCAGATTAAACTCTTTAATATTGCGTTTGCTGCCATCTTGTTTATACGTCACTTTGTGTAGTTGACTGAGATTTACCTCTACAAATGTTACTCTCCAGTGCTGCACACTTTTACGCATTTGTCCTCATTCCTGTCTGATCAAAAGCTTTTTTTAGCTGTTTTTTGTTCATGGCTTGTCACAAATGGTTTTTTTTCTTTTAGTTTTAAACATATTCTTGTCACGTTTGAGGACACAAAGCGCTGGCAATTCTTTTTATATAGAGTTGGATTTTATTTCATGTATATATTCTATCAGAGAAAGTATGCCTTTATATCAAGTTAGACATTATTTGGTTCCAAAACTCATTTTTGTATGCCAACTGATTTTTTTTTTTCTCATCTACTATATCCAAGTAGGCTATATTTGATTCTTTTCTGACTTATTTGTGTTTGGTATAAATGAAAATGTACATATTGGAGTTTTAACATAAGTCAAAAGCCAATATACCAAGTGTTTGAATGTTAGATCAATCTAACCTCAAATATGCCAACTTTTCAGTTTTATAAGGACAGCAATACTTAATTTTGTTTCCCAAATGTTACAGAAACTACATGTTCTTTTCAGTTTGAAAAAAATCCAACAACAACCTGTATTTTATTTCATGTTTTCAATGTTTCAAATAACTTGTCAGTTTTTGTTCTGCAGATGGAACGCAAGTGAGATACTGGATGTGTATCGGCAACTGAAAATAGTGATTCTCTTTAAGGTCAAACACTGTGCCATACCCGTGTTGCCAAGCCCAGACATTCGTGAATCTGTTTCATCCAATGTTTTATCTGTTCTCGAGCTAATGACATAAAATATATGAAACAAATAGACAAGTTGGCTCTGGCTTATTGGCTGAAGTTAAAAACACTTGGGAGTGACAGGCAGATGATGAAAAGATTGCATTTCTTTGAAGATGTCAGTATTTTTTCTTTTTTTTTTTTCTTTTTTTTTGGCACATTACCACTACAACCCTATAACTTGTATTAAAATGTATAGATGGTGGAGTTATTGAATGTCAGAGATTATGAAGATGGTAAAGTACTAAAAGTGGATTTAAATTGTGTACAAAGAGATGAAACAATAAAATGGATACAATTACTATAATGTTTGTATTGTATTTACGTGTTGGCAGAGGGATACTGAACAGAAATCAGCTGTAATAAAGTAATTTTAGTATAACTTGTCTGGTTTATTTATTTATTTTTACTTTGTGTGCACTGTTTTGATATGCTGGTGCATGTAATGAAGCAGACAAGGTCAGGGAGAAATCCCCAGGACCCAAGATGTTTGCAGGTGATGTGATCTGTGGTGGGAACTAATGAAAAAGAACTTGGAGAGTTGAACTTGAGGATGCACAGGACAGAGTGAGGTGAAGGAGAAGGATGACTATTGTGGTGACCCCTGGAGAAGAAACGTCCCACAGGAAAAGAAGAGAGAAGCAAGCGCCACTAAAAACTGGATGTTAGCAGGTGGGCACATGCTTAGAATTACCCATTCAGTTCAACCGTAGAGTTGCGATTACAAGGGGAAAATTTGCTAATTGGATTCATTTAAGCCCCGCCCTCCCCGCTCGTCATTACATTTAACCGGGCGGTGCAGCGGTAAATTGGAAGGAAGCGAACTTAAAATCCAATGGTACGATTTTCGTAAACGGAAGTGCGTCCAACGCGCTTGGTCCAACGTGACTTATGACCACTGCTGTAAATAAAGGCGAAAGAGGCTAGCCTGTAAAAAGTTATGCCGTGTGTAACCTAAGTAAGTATACCAATTTAAAACATGAATTTGTCTTACTTAGCCATCTCGGCATTTCGTGTAGCTAGCTGTCAACGAAAGGGGATTGTATTTCTGTAGCTAACCTCATATAACTACATTAGAATTATCAGAGTCTTGCGATAGTGTCTTAAGTACCACTCTTTATTCAAAATCATAAACTCATAAACCTTTTGTCATTTTTAAGTAGCTACGCGAGCTTATCTACTCGGATTCTGGTGAAGCTAGCTTAGCTGTATCGCTACTTGCAGCTTATAGCTAATTTTGCCCATATGAAGTCGTGGATATTGAATAAATAGGGTTTAAAAAGTTAACTGCTAAAAACTCTCGTTATCATGTTTTGGTTCAGGTCCAGTTTCTGCAGTTACACAGGTTTAGACCAAAGACATGTATTACATGATGCATATGGTTTAGTACTACAGTATTTTGATATGCAGCTATGGCGTTTTCCTACCTGAAGGTGGCATCTGTTTATTTCCAGAACTCCAGGATGTTGTGTGAAATCCTTCTGTCTTCGCTGTGGTTCCTGTTTGTTATCTTCTGGGTCGAAACAATAAGTGTGTGGCTCTTTCTGTCCATGTTTTACCAGGATCGGGCAATTTATCACTCAGGTGATGGGTAAGACTTGCTTATTTTTGTTATTAGTTTTTATTTACTTATTTTTTTTCCACAGTGGAGGGGAATAGCAAGCCCCAATGCAAACAAGTGCATGTACAACGAAATAAGCTCTGTCTCTGATGGCACCGTGTGAGAGCGTAATTTTCAAAAACTCATTTGATGTGCAGGGTGTTTGCAGATGATCCTGGACAGGGGATATTCAGGATGAGCAGGTATGAAGTCTTGATTTTTAATTAACTAAGTTCAGAACATTTTGTTTTGAATATTTTTGTTTTATACAGCTTTAATTCTTCTTCCGTTTCCCAGAGTTGACAGCCCTGTGGAGACTGGGATCCAGACCTGAGATGACTCAAAAGGCTTAGAGATGTTGTCGTACGACTGAAGAACAGATGACGAAAGCCTCTTCTTCTTTCACTTTCCCTCACTGATGTGCACAGCCCACCTGTGCAAGAATGTGGAAAGGTGCAGTTTTAGTGAAGGTGCAGTTATGATCAAAAGGATTGTCCTCTGTGATTTACGCATCACTTCCACTGCTTCACAGTTATGCTGTCAGATTTTGGAGGAGTAAAGTTATCATAAGAAAATCCTGAAAATCCTTTCAAATGAGCTCAGTGTATTTTTTTATTATTATTTCTTTACTTCACTTTAATCTTTGTTTTATACGTACACTAAAATATTATTTTGTCAGACACTCATTCTATGCAATCACTGTTGTCCCCTGTTATTTACAGACATATTTCTGTTCTCAGTTAAGAGGGCAAACCTGTTAGCAGTTTGCCATGTGACTGTTATATATAGTAACCAGATGTTTGAGTTTGTTTGATTCCACAATTTTTAACAATGACCTCTTTTATTCATGAGTATTTAACTTGGAGGAGATCTACAGTATTAGGATTGTATAATTTGCACATTGATTTGTTGTGTTTCCCTCACTTGTGATTCTCATAAAAGCAGTGAAATAACGGTGAGCTTGAAAGGTTTCCACATTTCTACATTTTGTTCAGTCGTTGTTGATTTTTCAGAGCTTTCAGCTATATCTTATGACATTTTTGGGGGGATCTTTTGTATTTTTGTCTTTTGTAATGTTTCCTTGGTAAGTTCAGTTTCAACGAGGTGACTAAAGATGTGATCTTGACGTCCAGCTGAGGATGTAATGTAGAGCAGAAACATAATTTATATTGTGTTGATTTTTTTTTAAATCAAGATCTACATTAAAAAGAGAACAATGTAAACCTTTTAAAATTACTATTTAAAAAAATGTACACTTTTGCAATGTATATTTTGTAAACCTGAAAATTGTTTTAATATGCATTTTTCTTGTCTGGAAATATTAATGGAAAACAGCTAATTCTGGTCTCATTTTTTAAAAATAAAAATATGAAAGCATGTGCTGTTTGACTTTATTGAATAAATGAAAGTAAGTATAGGTTTTTGTCATTGGTGCCTGCTGAATATTACACAAACACGCTTTTTCCACCTCCGCAACAGCAGGGGGCGCTCTCATTAAGTCAAACCGTTTACACGGCGGTCTCTTTCGCCCGTCGGTTCTGCATCCGGTCCCACAGCGAGGAAATAAAATGTGTTTTGTTTCTCTGTTTGCAGTTAGCTGTAACTAATGTGTGTTTCGTAAAGCTTGAGGACCTTGAAGTCTCATCGGGCGCATCTGTATTGATTACTCTTGTTAGCAAACAGCTTAGCTTTTAGCTGTGAGCACTTTCTCGTAATTATGGCTCCAACGATTCAGACACAACAAGCTCAACGGGAGGACGGCCACAGGTAACCTTTCAGCTCTCGGTTCTTGTTTGTATTTTGGAAACGACGTAGCCGCCACAGTTTAGCTTTTATTGTTATTTTTTTCTCACAGCTTACCTTCTAAGTTATATGTGACATGTTTATCAGTAGACAGCAATTTTGCTAAACCAAACACACAACTAAATTTAGCTAAAACTGATCTTGTTGAACAGAATTTAGAAGCCAGGCTTTAAAAAAAAAACCTAATTCGGTAAATATTTGTAGTAGGCGGGAAATCTCAAGTGTCCACATTACGTTGTCTTGCTGTCATTTTTTTATGCACAAGTACAGGTCACAGCTTTATTAAAAAACATTGATCCTTTAACATATATTTCAAAATTCTTTATAGATAATACACGGGATTTTATTAAGAATCAATTTCTCAAGGCCGTTTTCTGCTTAGAAAATAGCTAAGCATTTGGGTCATGACTTAATACTAAACATCACGATCTATATTTT